GAAGAAATGAATTTGGACACTTGGAAAAAAATTTAATCCTAAACCCTATACCCTATACACTAAACCCCAAACCCTAAATCCCAAACCCAAAACCTATACCCTAAACTCAATACCCTAAACCCTAAACCCTAAACCCTAAATCTTAAATCCTAAATCCTAAACCCAAAATCGTAAACCCTAAACCCTAAACCCTCTCATATAGGTGCTTAGATGATAGGCTCGTAAGTAGTTTGGGAAAAAGTTGGAGAACCTACTAAGGTACTTAGTAGGCTACAACTCTAATACCACCATTAATTGGAGGTTAGGTTTGTGTCCCCCTTTATGTACTTTGTTTCTTTATCTATGTTAAGGACTGGGGGTGTAGCTAAGCCCCTGACCCTCCAAGGGTTTATTCAAATAAAAAATAAAAAAAACCCTAAAAATCCTAACCAAAACCCTAAACGCTAAACCTAATTAACCCAAACCCAAACCCAACAAACCCCAAACCAAAACCTCAACACTAAACCTTAAATCCTAAATCGTAAATCCTAACCCTAAACCATAAACCTAACCCTAAACCCTAAATCCTAAAACCTAAAACCTAAACCCAAACCTAACCCTAATCCTATAAAACCCTAAACCTAAACCTAAACACTAAACCCTAACAAACCCTAAACCTTACCCAAACCCTAAACCTAAATCCCTAAACCCTAAACCATAAACCCTAAACACTAAATTTAAACCCTAAACCTAAACCCTAATACCCTAAACCTAAATCCAAACCCTAAACCCTAAAACCTAAACCCAAAACCCTAAAACCCATACCTAAACCCTAAACTATCGCATCTTCATTTGATGAATTTTTTCTCTCTCTAATTTCTCTATCTAAAAATAGCGCTCAAAATTTTGCCCATAACAACTATATTCACACCTGATACACGCACTGCCTGAATGGCGCGTGAGCCGCCGGTGGAGCTCTCCCGGCCACCGAACGAAGACCAACTGAGCGCCATGGCAAGAGCAACAAAACCCATATAGCCACGCCCCATAATTCATCCTACAGCTCCTCGAATTCACAAAATACTGAAGCGATCAACACTGCGATTTCGGAGAGGGAGCTGGACGGAATTC